TGCTCGTGAATTTTCTATTAAAATCTCTTGCTAATTATCATGCTGTAACCCTTGCTAGAGGTAAAACCTATTAGGTTTTTTAGGGAGAAGTAAATACAAGTGGTGGGTATGAAGACGTGCGCTGAGAAACCTCTTCTGTTATTTGGAATGTGAAAGAATATAGGAAAAATATAGGAAAATGTCTCAAAACAGTAACCTGGAGCTGTAAATAAGGGTGTGGTGTGGCACGCTGATCCAGCATCACAGCTTAGGGCCTGGGGTACCCCAAGGCAGGGCTTCATCAGTGAGCTCAGAGGAGACCATGCAATTCAAAGCAAGGTTGTTTTCCATCTCTCCCAGATGGAATTCCTCTGGACTGGGTTTTTAGTGAGTATTTGGGATGGAGCGAAATCATGCTATTTTTTTTTCAGGATAATGTTTGTGCTCTTCCATATCCCACCCTCCCCCTTCTCCCTTCCTCTCTGGAAAAGCCTTGGGAAGGTGTCAGGGCTTGCCATGCTGTGCTTTTGGGGGTGCAGAGAGGTCTGGGGTGCTTGGGCAGGGTGCAGAGCAGCTCCAGCTGCCAGCAGGGAGAGCCCGTGCCCATGGGGGGTAACTTGATGGCTATCATCTCATAGCAGGTCAAGAAACCCTGTAATTTCCCCTCTCCATCAGCGTCGCTGGGCAGGGAGGTGATTGCCACGGAGCTGGCGCCAGGGTGGGAATGGGATCCATCCGCTCTGCAGGTCGCGGGATCCTCCCCCACTTTGAGTTTCTGCTCCTTCGGTGACGCTTTCTGGCTGTCAGGGATGCCGAGCTGGTCCCCAGCACCCAGCCCCGAGCTGCAGCTGGCTTCCGAGATGACAGCAAAAAAAGAAGAGGCGGGGGGAAGCTGATTTAAATGTTTTTCCGAGCTGTTGGTGGTCAGCGCACCCAGGTTTCCATCCCATCCTTAGGTTCAGGGTTGTTATCGCCCAAGGTGGCAGGTCACCTCCCCACTGCCAAGCCCATCACTGCTGCAGCAAGGCAGCCTCGGGAGAGACGAGGGAGCGGGGTTAGGACGAACCAGCCCCTCATTACAGAGTTTGGAGGCAAAGCCACGTGTCGGAGGGGATTTGCAGGCAGTGGCTTTGAGAAGCCCGCGGGGTGGTTGCTGGGCTGGAGCTCTTGCTTTCACCCCAGGAGGTAAGAAGGATGCACGAAGGGTTTGCTTCCCAGGGTCTGAAGCGGCGCAGGGTGGGTTTTAACCCCTTGTAGCCACACCACTACACAATATCAGATACATTAATGCTGCGTGCTGCCCAAGGGGGTGCCACGGCGAGGATAAAAGTCGCTCACTTGGACGGGGTGTGATGGGTGCAGGGACGGTCCCGCTGTGGGCGAGAAGCGGCAGCTTGCGGCTCTGCTGCTCCTTATCACGTCAGCTGGCGGGAATTAATGAGATGGGGCGGGGGGAGATGCCGCGCTCTCCCCTTTTCCTCCCCAGACTGGGCTGAGATCCCAGTTCCTGCCGAGTCCCTATAAATTGCAGAGACACCTGGGCTG